GGTTACTGCTATGAGAGTAATACACCTGGATCTTTTACTGAGCTGTTGGTGGTCGAGCTGCATTGAAGAAAGGAAAACGTATGGAATAGAAAAGATGAAACCACATCGATTTTTGTACTGTTTTTAAAACAGTTATAAGTCTGAGAATGCTAAATCGATGGAGTCCTCTTTCACTGAGTGGCTCTAATGTACTGCGCAGGGATTGAAGGCAGTGGACGGCAGCATCAAGAAGGAGAGTGATCTCCCAGCTGCAGACCCCAACACACCCATTCCCCTTAAATATGAAGACAGAAGTGCTAACGGAGCCTGTGCTGCTGAGAAAGGCATCTCTCTCCTGCTCGAAAGAGGTCAGTGTGCAGTTGTCACTTCAGAGCTGATATAATAACAAATGATCTGCTATTGCACCAGGCAGACATCACAGCTCACTCTGAGGTTTACTGTTGTCCTCTATGTCTGTGTGAACAGCGGGACCCTTACAGGCCGACCAGAAGCACCCGACTCGCTCAGGGATGATCCCCGGCTCCTGGCAGCACCGTATGAAGCTGCAGCTCTTCCTCAAAGCCTCCAAAGCCTACTACGTCCTGTCCGACGCAGCCACTAACTTACTGAAGTACGGACGAGCCTTGCGCTACATCAAGCTATCTCTGCAGTGTTACGGTAAGCTAGTTACACTAGTTAAAGCTTTACACGTCTTTTTAATAGGACTCTTGTGGACATTTTGCTCGCAGTTTCTACCAGCCTGGAGTTTATGAAATATTTATCTAATATTAATGCAGAATCAGATAATTACAACTCCAGCTCCATTTCTTTGTAGACGTTACTTCAATATTTTATGAAAGCAGTGCAATAACTCAACATTTATTACTGTTTCTCCATCCACTCTTCTACCGCCGCTTCCCTCCAGACGCCTATTGTTCAGTGAGCGGTACACTGCACCCACAAGTGCTGCAGTTTCACAGCCAGTGCCTGTCTCTGTGTGGGGACATTCAGCTGATGTTGGCCCAGAATGCCAACAACAGAGCAGCTTACCTGGAGGAATACAGCTACCAGACCAAAGAGGACCAGGAGATCCTGCACAGCCTGCACAGAGAGAGCAGCTGCCAGGGTCAGTCTGTAAAGAGAAATGTGTTGAAATTACAAGTGCTTGCAGACAGCAAAGGGCTTGAAAATCCTCTTATCTATTTCAGTTCCAGCATAATAGTTCATAGAAAATAATCCTGTTTTGTTCAATTATTGATCATCCCACTCAATGCTTTCACTCTCTATCCACTAGCATTCAACATGGCAACAGACCTGGCCATGGACCCCGAGTACCAGCTGTTTGTTAGCAGCAAGTGCTACGAGGCGGCGTACGAACTGCTCGTCTCCGAGGCTTTGAAAGACCATACCTCTGATCAGCTGGCTCAGGTTCTCAAAAGGCTGGGAAACATCCGCAACGAGATGGGAGTCTTTTACATGAACCAGGCTGCAGCCATGCAAACCGAGAAGGAAGGTACGTTAGATCAGACCAGGACAAGTGTACAGAAAACAGTCTGATGACAGCTTTTTATTTTGATTTTCTGACACAATCTCATGTTTTTATTTATGTAATTTTCCCCAAGTGTTTCCAGAATCTCGGTTGCTTGAGTAATGTTGAGATTTAAATGGAAAATAATAATAAAAAAAACAATCTCCGTCTGCTGGGATCAGCAAGAATATTGAGTAAAAATTGTTCATAAAAATGCATTACCGGCTTTCTACTCCTCCCACTCGCCTTCTAGTGAAGAAGTCGGTGTCTGTCGCGGAGCAGGAGATGTGGAAAAAGAGTTTTGCCTTCTTCGAGAAAGGAATGAAGGACTTTGAGTCCATCGGGGACAGCACCAACACGGCCTTACTGCTGTGTAATACGGGCAGGCTGATGAGAATCTGCGCTCAGGCCCACTGTGCCATCTCTGCCGACCAGAGCAGAGGGGAGTTCTCACCTGAAGAGGCTCTTTACTACAACAAGGTGCCACATCAGGCTCTTAAAGTCTTCAATTCTGCATTGAACTGAGCTGTATTTGTTGATCTCATTTCATTTTCTCCTCTCATTTTTCTACCCCAGGCCATAGACTACTACTTGCGAGCTATGAAGTCACTGGCAAGCAGAGAGAGCCACCCAGCAGTGTGGGACAGCGTGAACTGGGAGTTGTCCACAACCTATTTCACCTTGGCCACGCTTCTGCAGGATTACGCCCCGCTGTCCAGGAAGGCACAGGAGCAGGTGGGTTCCAAAGCTTCTGTTATTATTAGTCAACAAATATTCCACATTTTCAAAATCTTTCCGCACATTAAAAATCAAGAATATCACAAAAACGTTGACAATATGCTTAATTTGTTATTATCTCATGTTTTGCTTCAGTAGCTTTTAGACACTTAATTAAACTTTAAATTATTCGGCGCTGTTTGTGTCTATCAAGATTGAGCGGGAGGTGACCGAAGCCATGATGAAGTCTCTCAAGTACTGTGACCTGCAGACGGAGTCGGCTCGTCAGCCGCTCTATCAGTACAGAGCCGCCACCATCCACCACCGCCTGGCCTCCATGTACCACAGCTGCTTTCGCAACCAGGTGGGAAGCAGTGCAAAATTATATACAATTAGATTTCTATAATAATTTATTCGTATTATTCTACCCTTTTGGCTTTTGTATGCATGCCTACAGTAGAGAGAAGAAGTAAACAATGAGTGGATGAATGGGAATAGCATGAGCTGTCTGTGTTTCATACTTACACGGCGCGCTGATAGATGTCTGTGTTTCTGGCTGTAATTGCGTGACAGGTGGGGGATGAACACTTGAGGAAGCAGCATCGGAGCCTGGCAGAGCTTCACTACAGCAAGGCTGTCTGTTTGTTCCTCAGCCTCAAAGATGCACCCTGCGAGCTGCTCCGCACGCTGCTGGAGAGGGTGGCTTTTGCTGAGTTTACTATGGCAGGTGAGCATCCATTCATCATGATAAATAATAAGATGCTGGCAGTCATGTTTGGTTTTTTGTTGTGAGAGAAAGATTGAATTGGGGGAACACAGGAACATTTGTCTCCGACGCCTCATACAGTCATGTTTCACGTTGTGTTTCTACAGGTCAGAGCAGCAGCGCGGCTAAACTGAAGAGCCTGACTGGAGCAATAGACATCATGACAGAAACTCGCCACGCTTTCCAGCTGATTCATAAAGAGCTGCTGGAGGAGCAGACAGAGGTAAGTGTCAGAGTAGCCGATGGGAGCGCTCCACCACGCCTGTTCGTCTTTGTTCCGTAGCCCGTTCGTGGTCACACACTGTAACCAACACCATATTTTCTTTTCCTGCTTGTCCTGTAGTTGAGTGAATCAGACGCTGCTGAATCAGCAGAGTCTCCCGACGTGGCCAGCGGTCCCATGTCTGGATTCAACCTCGAGGAAGTGATGAAGTTAATTGGCGTGTTTGAGCCAAGTTTCTCTTTTCTGCTGCTGCAGCTGATCAAACTGATGACAACAATGAAACGGAAACCAAGGTGAGCAAGAATCTGATCAGATTAAACCACGCATATACATCTAACATTGTTTTATCTTTCACAGTACTCACTCCAGACTGACTCGTGTGTGTTTGTTACAGCAATAAGGACGAGGAGCTGTTGAAAACCTATAAGAATGTGTACTCAAAGCTGCTGCGCGCTGAGAAAAATGCGCCTCTTCTCAGCCGCGTCAAGCTTTACATCGAACTCCTGCAGCAGCTGACCCCAGAAACAGAAAGCGATGACACAGGTGCACATAAATCCTAACAAGGAAAAACCCTCAAGACTCACTTCAAGATGACATTCTGGAGAAAACTTGGAAGACTTGAAAGATGCTGTGACAAAAAAAACAAAACAAAACAATGATTCATAGTCACAGATATTAACAATCACACGCTCAGGCAACACTGTCCTACTCTGAATTACAGTTTCAAAGCTAATTTCACCTCCTGCGCCTTTAAAAATGAGTTCATCTTTTTATAACATTCGCGTCACAGGTTTTCATTGTACATTTTTGTGAGGAGTTGTAAATTCATATGACATTATTTAATTGCTAAAGCAGTTGATGGGTCACATGTGAAGCTCCGATGTGTAGGATTTGTTTCTGACCGAACCAAATATCACCTGGGTCATTTTTCTACTAATGTCATGAAAAATCCTGCACATGGGGGCTTAAAAACACACAAATCATTTAGCACAGGGACAGATTAATTGAACTGATTGGTGTCTTTGATATTCAATGACATCAATAATTGTGTGAATAAATCGGAGTGAAGTGTGAGTGACGGCTACAATAAGCTCAAAACGCGTTATTTGCTTTCCACGACAACGGTGTGCAATAGTTCAGCAACATTCAATGCAAACTCAAGAGGCTAGTTTGTCCACAGTGCTGTATGTATAAATGTGACTTTATATCAGCATGGATTGCTGTGAGATGACAATAAAAGCTTTTTAAATTTTACCCGCCGGATTTCATTTTTGTCTCGCAAGACGCTAAAGGGACACCCAGAGGAAGCAGAGGTGTTTTCATCAAGTCTGTGGATAACAAACACACAGTACGATCCAACACACTGGACTGATGTTTGACACAATTCAGATTTTTAAGTGGGTTAGGCGACACCGGGCCCTGCGGGTTCTGGCAGCGGTTCCTTGCCGCCGGGGTCGCTGAAGCGGGGGGGGGAAGCATGATGTTTTCAAAGCGATGTCAGCGAACTGGGTCACCCCACTGTTACTGAACTGTATCCACAGCAGATGGAGCTGCGGGCACGTCCAAACTGTCCCTGCACCTCATTAATCAGGCCGGACCCTCGGTGCTGTGGGTGACTGACTGTTGGACAGTAACCGAGGCTAACGCATAAAAATGAGAGGCCGCAGAATCATTAAAAGATTGAGCCGGGGACTGTAAATCTAAATTGTAAACCTCGCTGGGGACGAATAAAAAGAAATTCAAAATGTGAAATATTTGTGCAAATGTAAGTAATCAGGTACCGAATGTCAGCTTTAGAAGTCATTTTAATTCATATATTAGTGCACTTATAAAGATAAATACAGAACGTGAGGTTGTGATAAAAACGAAGGATGATGGGGCACAGAAAGGAAGTAACTCATTAAAAAAAAAACTAATGAAATTCAGTGCAATAAGTCCTCCTGATTACTCCACCACTGAGAGTCATTGTACAACACAGCGGTCAGACGTCTGGTCCTCCTCGGGTTGGTCCTGTGATGGTTTCTCCTCTTGGTACCGAGAAGCTCCGTGATTCAAAATGTTCTGGAGGATGCTTTTGCTCTCGCTGGATGGTAAATTGTAGAAAAAATACTGCGGCGCCATCTGGACGAACCTAGTGGCGGAGAGAACAACCCGTTACACCCCACTTTGGAATATAAACGATATAAATTTCAATTTGCAAACTGGTTTTCAATCGGGTTCAGCGCTGAGCGACGCCCGCTTTTGTGGGAGAGAAGACTTACAGTACATCTGCTGCTCACGGTGTTTGAGCCGCAATGAACGGATTCACACATTTCAGGACGAGGAACTTAAGAGGCCATGACAAAGGCTACAGCGCTTTCTCTTCCTCCATTAAGCCGCAGCTCCACATTCCCAGGGATCTGTGCAATCCATAATCCCCTCTCCAACTAGCAGATACTACAGAACAGGATTATAATACCTCCCCTCCACAAACCAGCACGACTAGTCTCAGCTGAACTGGAAGCTTTACATATGGTTCAAAAGGGAAGGGGAATGTGTCTGTCTGATTACTTTTAAGCCTCTTTATGTGTTAAGATACAAGGGTGGTCCTCTGGGTGTGAGAGGCGGCGGTCTGTTTGGCAAAACTGCATGCAGTCAGTTTAAAACAAACTCACGATTTAAAATACCCAAAGCACAAAATGTTAACAGAGCTGGGACTCACTCCTCGGGTGTTATGCGGGTTACGGTGCGGAGGCAGTTGTCTTCAGAGAAGGAGTGCTGGTGGTACAGCACCCACTCCGGCAGGCCCAGTTTGGGGCTCTTGGCCCCGTAGCCGGACAGAGGATGGATCTGAGCTACATGCTTGTGGGTCAGAATGAAGTAGTTCCCTGATCCGTCCACATCCCGCCCCACCTGAGGGGAAATCAGAGCCAGAGTCACTATCCAAGAAAACCAGCTCACAAAGACAAAGAAATAGAAAATGCATCGTGTTTTTTGATTTTGCCTTTAATAGTTTGCAATTAAAAAAGCCAAACATAGCCGTCGACAGCAACAAAACAAAGGGTAAATTCTTATTTTTGGAATTTCTGTATTTGCTGCAGTTTAAATGTGTGAAACCGGGCTGCAAGGTGGATCGGTGGTTAGCATCATTGCCTCCCAGCTAGAAGGTCACTGGTTCGCATCCCGGTGAGGACACCTGGGAGGAGTTTGCATGTTCTCCCTGTGCAGCGTGGGTTCTCTCTGGGTTCTCCAGCTTCCTCCCACAAGGTCCAGGAGCATGTTGAGGTTAATTGGTGATTCTAAATTGTGTGAATGTGAGTGTGCTTGGTTGTTTGTCTCTAAGTGCCCCCTGCCTTCACCCTAAGTCAGCTGGGATAGACTCCAGCCCCCCGCGACCCTAGTGAGGATTAAGTGGTGTATAGATGATGATGGATGTGTTAAATAGTTGAACTATTAAAGTGTTAAAGTGGAAGTCAAAATACTGAAAGAATATGAAATGGCAGGTAAAATGGAATCGAGTGAGTGAGCTAAGTGTAGTTAAAGGATCAGCTGAAGATGAATTCAGACTAAGTTGATGCTTTGAGAGGAGCTGAAATGGTAGTTGAGGTTCTGGGTGAAGTAGAGGTACTGAAAGAACAGTTTGGGAAATTATACCAGCTGAAGTGTGGGCTGATGGGTAAACACCGAGAGCAGTGGGAGGAAACCTGAGACCCTGATGTTGAAGGGTTCGCGTTGAAAGTAGGTGAAATGTCAGCTGAAAAGAAAGTAGTGAAGGTAGCTGATGTGTAAGTGATGAAAAACGATGAGCTGTTGTTGCGGGAGTCAGAGATCAAAGCAGCTGTTTAAGAGTAAAGCAGAAACGCAGTCCAAGTGGAAGAGGTGAAGAGGTTTCAGCTGAAATGTCAGCTGGTTTTTACAAGCGCTGACGAGAGTTAAATGTCAGTCGAGGCCTGAGATCAGACGATAAGCTGACATGTCAGGTTAAATACGAAAAGTAATTAAATTCAGTGTGTCGCAGCGCTGATGGCAACACAGCAGACAGGCCCCACAGTTATGGTTTAGGATTAATAATTATGCTTTGTAATCCTAATTTAGAATATTAATCTGAAAAAGAAACAAATGGTTCTTTTTATATTCAAATTCTGGATTAGAAATATTTAAATTTTTTTTTAAAAATATGTGCAAATTCTGTGAGCACTAACTGTGAAAACTGAAACCCCATAAGTGCACATGATTAAAGAATTCTTCATGTTGTTGCATTTACTGTTTTTGACGGGTGGCGCAATAAAGTAATCCGACCTGCATGAAGAAACCAGCCAGGAGGGCCCTCTTGATGTTGATGGTGTTGTTTCGGGATCCGAAGGCGGGGAATGAAATGGGAAGCTCGATCCTCTTCAGGGTGTCGGTGAGCTCGGCACGGAGAGCGTCGGCCATCAGCAGAGCCGTGTGGTTCAGGTAGAAGTCCTGACACCACTTGTCCACGGTGCAGTCTACCAGAGGACAGGAAGTGATGAAACATTTAAAAAAGAGGATGCTAGTCAATTTGTGTAAAAACTTGCACTGTTTTAGTTTTTCTCTATGTTACCATATATCATAAGAGGGTACTAGCATTAGAATATGTTATTGTTGCAAATATACTCTTTAATATCAGCGTAAACTTATTTTTCTACCAGTTATGATGATTTTTCTTAATTAGCATCTGTGTGTATATGCATGATTGTATATTTCCATGTAGCTGCTGCTCTCTGAACTCACATGGATCCTGCTGGCACTGTTTAAAGGCCTTGTAGATATTGATGAGGGTGAAGTGGTCTCCCTCTGGGTGCTGGAACTTCATGTGGCACTGGGTTGCTTCTGGCTTCAGCTCCGCAGAAGGAACCATGAAGCAAGTTGGTGCTAAAAAAAGAAAATCCACAAAATGTAAATGGGATATTTAGAGTATACTTTTTCCTTGATAGATGAACTGAAAACATGGTTGTGTACATGCACATGGTCCTGAGCTTGTGCTGAAACGCCAGCCCAGCGTGTTACCTGTTAGCATGGCAGCGATGATGAGCACCTCGCTGACACAGTCAAACTCACAGGAGGCGAGCACAGTCTTGGCCATCTGGGGCTCCAGGGGGAACTCAGACATGATGATGCCCATTTCAGACAGGTTTCCATCATTATCCAGGGCTGCCAGGTAGTCCAGTTCCTCCAGAGCCTGCATGAGGCCTCCAGGATCTGGGTTGGAGAGGTTTTTGAATTGCACAGCTTAAATGAAACCCTGGGAGAACCAAAATCCTGAAGAGAACCAAGTACACGTCCGTATGACTGTCTAGTATTTAAACTGGGAGATTATTAATCACACGCAGATATGCTTTGACTAAAACTGTTACGGATCATTTTTTGTTCTGTTTTCATGCAGCCTTAACTGTAATCCAAAGCGGTGACCCACTGGGACAATCCCCGACTGTATACTGGCACCCTGATGGGAACGCTCCAAGTGAATGGGCAGCAGCAGATTAGGATTTTATAATCCTCACCAACATCTGCCGTGCATCACTATGCAAAATGAAAAGTCTGTCATGGAACGAATGAGATTTCTTTTATCCTTTATTTTTTTGTAACAAACATGTTTTTTTGATGTACATCTCGGGGAAGCACCGGACAAAGAGATAGAGACAGAACAAGAGGAGAGAATGAAAGTAAAGCTCAGATGCTCTCTGTTATCATCCACTCTCCCTCACACCAACTCCAGCATGTCTACGCCCTAATCAGCTAATGGGAGGCTCAGTGTGTTTGTGTTAGTGGGGGCGAATAAATCCGAGGGAACAAAAGCACATGGAAGCAGGTCAGCTCTAAAAGGATGCTCGCAGAACAGGAGCTGTCAGCTCGGCTAAAGCACGGCTCGCTGCCTCCCAATAAAAAAAGTTCCTGTGTGTTGGAACAAAAGGGAAATGGACTGACTGAACCCAAAATTCATTTTAGCACCGAGAAGGTGAACCTTAAAGAACAGCAGGGGTTTACCTAATATAACCCAATAAAAACAACATCCTTTATTGGGTTTATTTTGGTTTCTTTACGTATCTCACCTGGCCTGTCGATGAAGTCACAGTGACCCAGTCCGGCGATCTCCATCCTCTTCAGGAAGAGCACAGTGGAAGTGATGTCAGACTCCACAATATGAGGGCGTATCTGAGCAGGAAGCTGTCTGTCCTTTGGGTACAGACAGAAACACTTGCCTACAGGAAACAAAGATCCTTTTTAAAAAATAATAACAAGACAGCAGCAGGACATTGGCAGCCATAGATTCATATTAAAGCAGTGTTTAGTCACAGCTCTCACCTGTTGGACCTGCCAGCTGTCTGCGGCTCTCACTTTGACTTGAGCTGATCGGCTGAGTGATGACGGAGTTGGTTCTGATCCTGGGGTTGTAGACCTGCAGCAGCATCGTAGTGGGTTGACTTTGGTTTTATATAGTGGTTGAATACAACTAAGTACATTTATGCAAGTATCTATTACTTCAACTATATTTCAGATGTGGCAGCTATAACCACTGGTTATTTTACAGATGAAGACTTAACTTACAAAATAAAAGCTTCGTCATGTATTTATTTTATTTGATTTACCTTGAATTTACTCAGAAGTCCCATTGAGATTAGAAATTTCTGTTACAAGAGACACCTGGCCAAGGTAGCAGCCATACAAAATCAACAGCCATATATAATTTATAATGTAGTAGCTGAAATAAAATGACCCTTTCATATAAATGCATCAACACAAACAACTAAATAACACATATAATACCATGCAACAGACACTTTTTCTGCTTAACCAGTACTTTCACTTTTAATAGATTTAGCTATTGAGATTTTGAATGTAGTACTTTCTGGTCCTGTTTTTATTAAAGTAAATCTATCACCTCTACAACTACTATTTCTATGTAAGGACATTTAATGTAACATTTACACAAACCATGATTTTACATATAACCAGCAGCAGCAATTAGAAATGCCTAAAGCTTGATGTATGTGCTGAACAAGCTGTGCCTCATAATTGGACATTTTTCACTGCCTAAAAAAAAGTTTTTGTCTCTCTATCTACAGTGTTTCTGGGAAGCAATTAGTTCACTCTTTCATTCAACAGCCACATAAATGTTCTTTTAAAAACATCCTGATGGATCCCTCTGATGTATGTTGATGACTCTGAACTCAGCAGCAGCACGTCAACCTCCACAGCACAACAAACCAGATTAAACTCACATATCTTTTCTCGAGCCCTGCATCAATAACAAAGCTTATGGAGCTGACAGCCCAGAAGAAGTCCTCGTTGGGGCTGGATGTGAGGAACACTCTGCGGGTCCGGCCTCTCTCCTCCTCCTCCTCCTCCCCTTGTACTGGGAGAGTCCCAGGCCTCCCAGGGTGCACGGCAACGGGCAGTAGCTCCCCCAGACCAGGTGGTAAACCGTGCCCTTCGTGACACAGGATGTCATGAGCCAGATCTATCTCCTGGTAGAGAGAACACAAAGAGGACAATCAGGGAAGCACATATTTCCCATCAGTGCTGCAGTGCTGCTTCATTTACCTGCGTGGTCACCAGAAACACGACCACATCGCCCTCCTCTTCAGAGCGGTGGATCTCCAGGACGAGGCGGAGGGCCGAGCAGAAGTATCCGTCCCCTGTGCTGCTGTGCGCCACCTCCCCTGCGCCGTGACTCTCCAGGCGGATCACAGGCAGCGGCGACCCGGTGAAATGGGCCAGCTGCTTGGGTCCGGGTTCCACGGCCGCCAGGAGGACCACGCGGAGGTCCGGCCTCTGGAGGGCCACGTCCTTCAGCAGGCCCTGGAGAACGTCGGTGGCCACGGTCCTCTGGTGGGCCTGATCCACCACCACCACGGCGTAGCGCTCGAGCAAAGGGTCCGACATCATCTCTCTCAGAAGCATGTCGTCTGTGCAGTACCTGTGGAGATGCTTGACATTAGGAGAGCTCATACACCCACAGAGGCTCTTAAATTATTGCAATCCACAATAGCCTGAAATAAATCCTCAGGTTTCTTTAAGTGTAGGAGGGGAACAGTGCATTTAGGAAATCTATTCAGTGCACCTCAGAGTGGCATTTTAATGAAAGCCACTTTGTCTACACTTCAGCTTTGCCACTATTAGTGTAATTTACTCTAATAATTAGTCTGGGGAGCCGATCCTGCAGTACTTGCTGGCTGCCTGTTTATCTTATCTCCCTCCCCTCGGTGTGCCGACTTCCTTTGTTCCCCAGCTAACTTATGAGGGACCCACATGAGGGAGTGTGACATATGGGCAGACAGGGAGCCGGGCAGCTGTGCAGGAGCCCCCTGAAAAGAGCCCCTCGAGCCTTTTGTTCACTTCCCCCCCCCTGAGAATATAAGCAAAGGCGGGGTGACTTAGCTGTGTGTCATGACCATGCAGTATTGGAAACCCAGCAAAAAAACAGGAGAGAGAAAGAAAAACACATCTGAGTTTAAAAGTAAAAACCACTGCTTTCCCACACCTGAGAACTGTGTCATTAGCGCAGCATGTTTCCAAAGGGATGCTGTAGCCAACTTCATGACCAATGTTGACATCCATCTCGTCGGCCACCCTCAAGGCGAGATCCACCGCCTGCTGCGCGTGAATCTGGGTGCAAACCACCAAACCGTGCCGGAACTGGACTGACAGGCAGAATTCGGCGCACCACTGAGGAATCTGTTTGAAAAATAAGAGTGAAATAAGTTGTTTACATCACAGCTTCTTCCCGACCAGGAGTCGATAGAAAAAGGTCTGTGAATATCGCCCTGTGAAATCTGCTCTTGCATGAATGACATGTGCAATATTTTCCATGGCAGTGTAATCTAAAGTGTCAAACACCCCACAGTACTCACTTGAGAGCTCCTTCCAGTTTTGGCAGAGCCACTGACAACGACAAACTGTCCTTTGGCCAAAGTGTCCATGAATTCACACTTTGCTTTCCACACTGGCAGCTCTTTCCTTTCTTTCAGCAGTTTGTAAAACCTGGAGGAATAAGGCAGTCCATCAAACTGATTAAGCTCCAGGATGCCATCATATTCTTTGTCTCCTTGACTCAAAGCTTCTGAGTCTGAACAACAGGCTGATTTCCCCTCAAAGTAGTCCTCTCCTGTTAAACTGGTAACGTCCTGCGCCATCACAAGTCGCCTCCCAGTCCGTCCGGTGTAAGACTTCACTTACAGATCCGCAGAAATTAAGTTTGGAAATCTCCCGCTCTCAGTGAACTGTTGGACAAAACACACACTCACACACACACACCGCTTCTGCAAGTGAAGCCAAGTGAAAGGCTCACCAGGCGGCCAGCCCAGTGTTGTCATGTGGCCGCTAATCCCATAGAAGTGCGGTCATCAACAGATGACACACACACACACACACACACACACACACACACACACACACACTGGTCTAGGCAGGAGGAAAGTCAGAGGGGCTTAGTGTTGACTGGATAAAGACAAAGATCAGAAGCTGCACATAGAGTAAAACGCTCCTGTTTATCAGCTGTGGTGTAATTCAGAAATTAATTATTTCAGCGACTGACCATCTGAAATAATTAATTGTGCAGAACTGATGTCTCATATCTGCTCTACTTTTAGCCTCTGCAGTGTTTCTGTACCTGCAAAAGACTTCACGTGCATCTAACAAAAACATAATTTGATTAAAACAGTAAAATAATCTTTGATACAGGGGCCTGTGGATATTTGGACTATTGTTATTATTCTCCTTTAAACTTTAAATTACAAGATATGTTTTATTAAACAGGTAAAAATGTAATTTATCAGTTAATTCACTTCAAGACCAAACAGTGCTATCAAATGGACTTTGGTTATTTCTGCCATAAATTAGTCCTTTGGTTGATAAACTATTTCAAATAAGAATTAAAAGCTGTCGAGCTGAGATGGAATCAGTATGACTAGAAATTGCATTGAACCATGTCAGTAACACTTTACAGGAAACTGACCATAGATCTGCCACAAACCATCCAATCACATCTCTGATGACAGTGAGACGCCACTGTAGACATGCTGCTATAAAAGGTATGTTTCTTAAGTTCAACTCAGACCATTTTTATATAGGTTAAATAACTCAAATTTGGTGCTTTGAAGTCAGAATTGTGAACGTACAATAGTTTCCTGTGAAATAACTAAATCTGGGAAACTTATTTGGTTTGCAACATCTAACGCTGTGATGAGATTCAGAAGGAACCAGCCAGTCAATCTCTGTCCAGAATTAATAAAATCTGCAAACCAGCCCAACTAAAGTTCAATATTTGACACATTATACCTCTTTTTATCACCCATAATGAAGTCGAGGCCAGTTTCGCCACATGAGAGCCATCTTGGTAACGCCCAGGGTCGTGATTTCAGGCCAACGAGCCTGGGTCCACATCTAAATGAATAGGGAGAGAGCTGTAACAGTAATTTCAATATTAACTGGGACATAAAGACAGAATCTAGAGAATCATCAGTCAAACTTGATAAAAAGGCACCTCGAGTGTTCGGTGACCTAAGCTTGGTTATACTTGTGCTTCACATGCACACAGTTTCACAACATCATGCCTGCATCAATGTGACAATACGACTGGTTTGATGTTTCTCTGTTTGGCTGTTACAAAGCAGACTATTGGTATTAATGGGGTGGAGGCTACAGAATTCTACCATAGATTTCTATTCTAGATTCTTTTTGGGGGAAGTCTCTCCCTTGTAACGTCTCTGCTCATTCACATCCAAATGTATAAAAGCGACGATTCTTCAACAGTACAGTTGGAGATCTTGATTCCTAAGCTCAGAGTCAGGCTGCCGGCACATGCAGCAAACTGTCAACATGAGAGTGATGATCTACTCATTCAGGGTAGGAGACAGTATAAGGACATGTCCCAAAATACCATTGGTAGAAGTTCACCAGGATCTTAGGAGACAAGTCAGTTTCTTAAGCCTCCTCAAGCAGAAGAGATGCCGGTGTAACCTTTTGATCAGGATTGATTGTTGAAGACAGGTCCTGGACACCAGAAACCTAAAACTTGCAACAAATTTAACCTCCGTTCCATTGGTATGGATGAGGTATAATGTGTGCAGCCTCTGGTCTTCCTGGAGTCCACAGTAAACTCTTTGGTCTTGTTGGTGTTGAGGGTCAGATTGTGTTGGATCTCGTCTGTATGCCGACTCATCGTTGTTGGTGACGAGGCCCACCTGAAATGAGTCATCTGTGAATTTGTTAATGGTGCTAGAACCATGTAAAGGGGCAAAGTTGTAGACAAACAAGGAAAGAAGGAGTGGACTCAGGAGGCAGCCCTGTGGAACACCAGTGTTCAGAGTAAGGATTGAAGAGGTGTGATCGTCTTACCCAACTCTTACCTTTAACATTTCCCAGTTGTAAGTGTGTTATGGTTGTTTGGATGTCTCCTATTTGTATTGGATTGCATTTGATTCATATATTTAATACTTGGAAAAAAATGGAAATGACAAGATGCATAAACAAGATAAGTTCAAGTCATGTCAGCCTACTTTGTTATTCATCAAACAATTATTGCTAACACACATTGACCTGCAACCGTATACATCATCTCCTTTATTTATAGAAAATCCTCCACTGAAACTATCCATCCATTAAACCGTCATCATCTGAACAGCTTTCTGGACCCTGTGTGTAAATGTACCCTCTGCATCAGACATTCTGCGAGCAAACGCCAGCACATTCACCGAGGCTTTTTCAACAATAGGCCTTCTTAATTGGTAATATAAAGCCCAAATGTTCTGCTTCACTTCCCTTTCTCTCATTAAAAAAAAACAAAACAGAAACACTAACTTCTGTTTTGTTTTGGTCCGTTGGGTTGCCTTTAGAGATCCCAGTGATACAGCTAGAAATCTGTTGTATTTTAAACTGCACTTAAGTGAAATACGACTTGCGAATTTGTGCTCCGTTTCCATTTATCCTCATTCAAGTCGAAAAAAACAAACATCAACAGTATCATTAAAACTTCTCTGCTTGGAAAAAAAACAAAACAAAATAGTTTTGAATTTGAGAAAAAGGTGTAAAAAACATCAAATTGTTGAACTAACTTGGAGAACATCTCATGTACAGATCCCTCACAGCCTAAATTTTACTTTAAGAATGTGAATGTGTGGAGTGGTGATAGATTTGTTCACTAGCTGATACCTGTATGGACATTTTTCTTCTGCCTGAATGCAACTGAAACACTGAAATACATCCAGATTAGCAGTTATTAAGAAGATTAATGACATCGATGTGTACATTATTTCCAGTTGCTTCCTTCACGTTCTTTAGCTCACTCTCAGGACAGTTTAAAGCTCAAAGGTTTCAATGTTTTCGTATTCTTTCCCGGTAATGGTTTATGTTAACGAGTGTTACGGGGAGCTGAATCTTAATCAGCACTCAAGGGCAGCTTCAATCTGCAGTTTGAGCACATTACGGTGAGATAATGAGTTAAACCCTGGGAAAGAAGGTTGTAATGACCGGCGTTGTCTGACAGGTGGCAGTGTTGAATAACTATGATGGGCTGCTGCAGCAGAGGAGAGGAAGCCATTGAGAAAATGAGAGGCATACCTCTGGTGTTGTACTTGACACACATAAGATTCACTGTTGATTGGTGGCTGTTTATTAGATGTTTTAATGTCTCCATCCATCCATCCATTATCTATACACCGCTTAATCCTCACTAGAGTCGTGGGGGGCTGGAATCTATCCCAGCTGACTCAGGGCGAAGGCAGGGGACACCCTGGACAGGTCACCAGTCTATCACAGGGCTACACTTAGAGACAGACAACCAAGCACACTCACATTCACACCTACGGACAATTTAGAATCACCAATTAACCTCAACATGTTTTTGGACTGTGTGGGAGGAAGCTGGAGAACCCACGCTGCACGGGGAGAACATGCAAACTCCACGCAGAAAGATTCCGGTGCCCCCACTGGGACATGAACCAGCAACCTTCTTGCTGCGAGGCAACAGTGCTACCAACTGCGCCACCGTGCAGCCCTGTTTTAATGTCTTCATATGTTAAATGTGTCATGTTGCTAGTAGGTTTTACATGGTGGGATTTATGAAAATGTTTAAACATGATCACGATTCAAAGTCCTCGTTGGTCACGGTGGCTCGGTGGGTGGCACATTGAACTTCAAAAATCAAAGCGCAAATGACCTCTTATAAACAGTCATAAAGGAACTTTTATTTGGCTCTGATTTCATCCCTTAATTCAAACGTTATCCTCAAACTTTAGCGTCTGGCCTACAAGTGACAGGTCAGAAATTGTCAAAAATCATGACCCAGTGTGGAGGGGGCACGGCCTCGAAGCAGTTCTTACATTACTGTGCTTGTAAAAAAAACAAAAAAAACAAAACAAAAAGAACAAAAAATGATAACTAACATACAATATTTACACTTTACAATGGATTTTAAAACACTTAAAATATAATAAACACAGTACATTTAGGATTTACAAATGGCAGAAACATTTAACAGCTAATCGACACGGCAATAACAAATATTTTTCCAGCGGAGAGCGGTTACTCTGAACACATCTGAACACTTCCGAAACGAGAAGAAAAAGCATTTACTTGAACACGTATGTACACAAACACGATGCGGGTAGGCAGGGGCGTTTACTGACTCCAATCGTTCCGCAGCGGTGAAAAGACAAGTGTTGCGTTTGGATATGCCGCGAACACCAAAAATGCATTATCCAAAGCCAACAGTGACACAGAATAACAGGACCGCGGTGTCAAGTTTACAGTTGAATCCCTCCTCGTATAAATAACATCAAGAAAAGTGCCTAACTCAAAGTGCAACGCCGAGCTCTGGATCTAATGGACGATGCTGTGAATGCATGAATAATCTCTGCCTTCAAGAACAGTGAAGCCATACAAAATCCAAAAGGAATGCTGTGAAAAAAGAAAAAAAAAAAATAGACAGAGACGGTAAAACATCTTGTTGGACACGGTCGACAGAGCTGAAGTTATCCGGCTTGGCTCGCGCGCTCAAGGACAAAGTGAGCGTAAACGTTAAACATACAAACACCAGCATTAACGTTGAATTATTTGGTGTAGGTGTAATTCTCTGGAACACAATCAGTCTGTCAAATCTGTTGACACTCCGCAGCGCCTGCCAGCATCAGGGGAG